TAGCAAATTTGAACTTATCTCCAACGCAATGCGACCTGAAGCTTCGCAATTGTGAAGCAGGATCAAGTGGTCAGTGATCGCAATTGAGACCAAATTCTCGTAAATGTGAGATTCACCCAGCCCAGCCCATGCTCGCAATTGCGAGATCTGCAACAGAGCACCAGAACTAGTATTGCACCAGCAGACTTTTCATTAGCAAAACTCATCCAAAACATGTCTTAAACTCACCTAAGTCATTCGGGCTCCCAACCAAACATGCACACAAGTGTAATAATATCATACGAACTTGGTCGCGCAATCAAATCACCAAAATAACATCTAGATCTCTGAATCAATCCTCAAAACGAATGAAATTTCAAAGTGGAACTCTAAAACACTAGAATCACATTTAAGCGTCTGAATCATGTCAAATCAATTCTGAATTAAACAAAATATTGCAGACAAGTTTCAAATTGCAATTCAGAACTATTCCAAGTTTCAACATAAAAATCCGAACCCGTTAGCTAAGAAGTCAACTTTCGGTCAAACCTTCTAATTCTTCAACTTTCAAAAATGCTAGTTTTGGGCAAAATGACTCAAAATAATTTAGGGACTTCCGAATTCAATTTCAAGCATACGCCCAAGTCCTATATCATGACACGGACCCACCTGAACCATTAACACACTGATCTGCGTCCGTTTATATAAAATATTGTCCGTAGTCAACTCAAATCAGTTTTTAGGTAAAAATTCATATTTTCTTCAATTTTTCACATAAAGACGTCCCGGAATAAGACACGGACTGCGTACACAACACGAGAAACGCTAAACAGAGCTTATCGAGGTCTCAGAACACGGAAATAGAGGCTAAATCTCAAAATGACCTACCGGATCATCACATTCTCCACGTCTAAAATAAATATTCATCCTCGAACAGACATAGAAAAGTGCCTGAACCGGAGAAAAGGTGTGGGTATCTACTCTGCATATCGAATGGAACTCCCACGTAGCTGCCTCGATCGGCTGATCTCTCCATTGCACTCGAATTGAAGGGTAACTCTTAGACCTCAACTTTCATACCTGCCGTGCAAAAATGGCCATCGACTCCTCCTTGTAAGTCAAATCCTTGTCCAATTGGACTAAGCTAAAATATAACACATGGGACGGATCACCGTGATACTTTCGGAGCATGGAGACATGGAACACCGGATAAACTACTGATAAGCTAGGTGGAAATGCCCTTCTTTCTGAACCACATCAAACCCTTCATGGGTGAAACCCGAAGAAATACCCTCTCTCCAGCCATGAATGCAACATCACAAACTCCCCGATCGGTATAACTCTCCTGCCTAGACTGAGTTGTGCAAAGTCGATCATTAATCATCTTGACCTCTTCCAAGGCATCCTGAACCAAATCGGTACCCAACAATTGAGCCTCTCCCGGGTCAAACCAACCAACTGGCGAACGGCACCGTCTCCCGTATAATGCCTCATAGGGATCCATCTGAATACTCAGTTGGTAGTTGTTATTGTAGGCAAACTTTGCAAGCAGCAAAAACTGATCCCAAGAACCCCCGAACGCCATAACGCTAGCGTGAAGCATATCCTCCAATATCTGAATGGTGCGCTCAGACTGTCCGTCCGTCTTGGGGTGAAATGTTGTAATCAACTCAACTCGTGTGCCTAACTCATGTTGTACAGCCCTCCAGAAGTACGAGGTGAACTGCATACCCCGATCAGAAATGATGGACACCGGCACACCGTGAAGATGAACGATCTCGCAGATATAGATCTCAACCAACCGCTCTGAAGAATAGGTAACTGCTACAGGAATGAAATGTGCCGACTTGGTCAACTTGTCCACAATGACCAATACCGCGTCAAATTTCTTCGAAGCCCGTGGGAGCCCAACAACAAAATCCATGGTAATACGCTCCCACTTCCACTCAGGAATCTCAAACTTCTGAAGCAAACCGCCAGGCCTCTGTTGCTCTTACTTTACTTGCTGACAATTTAGACATCGAGCCACAAAGGCATCTACTTTATTCATCTTCATTCTTCTCCACCAATAATGCTGCCTCAAGTCCTGATACATCTTGGAAGCACCCGGATGAATGGAATACCACGAACTGTCGGCCTCCTCAAGAATCAACTCACGAAGCCCGACCCTGCATCCGCAACACCCCATCATCTCCAATAGTAACTTGCTTGGCACCACCCAAATTACATCACTAGGAATACATAATACCCATATCGAGTCCGAAAAGATGTCTTAGGGACATCTGATTCCCTAATCTTCAACTGATGGTATCCAGACCTCAAGTCAATCTTCAAAAACACTTTGGCACCCTGAAGCTGATAAAATAAGTCATCAATCCTCAACAACAGATACTTGTTCTTGATAGTGACTTTGTTCCACTACCGATAGTCTATATACATCCTCATCGAGCCATCCTTCTTCTTCACGAACAACACATGCGCACCCCAAGGCGAGACACTAGGTCTAATGAATCCCTTATCAAGTAAATCTTGCAACTGCTCCTTTTGTTCCTTCAACTCAGGCGGGGCCATACGGTATGGTGGAATAGAAATGGACTGAGTGCCCAGAGCCAAATCAATACAGAAGTAATATCTCTATCGGGTGGCATCCCCGGTAGATATGTAGGAAACACCTCTAGAAACTCACACACAACAGGTACTGAATCCATGGAAGGAACCTACGCACTAGAATCGCGAATAGAGGCCAAATAAGCTAGACATCCCTTCTCTACCATATGTCGAGCTTTCACATAAGAAATAACTCTGCTAGTAGGAGTCCCTTTCCACTCTAATCCAGGCAACCCCGGCATGGCTAAGGTCACCATCTTAACATGACAATCCAATATAGCATGATAAGGTGAAAGCTAATCCATACCCAAAATAACATCAAATTCTACCATATCAAGAAGTTGAAGATATACACTAGTCTCAAGACTCCCAATAGTAATCACACACGAGAGATAGACACGGTCTACAAAGGTAGAATCTCCCACCGGCATGGACATATACATAGGAGCATTCAAAGAATCACGAGGCACAACCAGATATGAAGCAAAATAGGATGACACATAGAAATAAGAAGATGGCGGATCAAATAGAATTGAAGCATCTCTATGGCAAACTGGAACAATACATGTGATAATGGCGTCAGATGAATCGGCATCAGGTCTAGTTGGGAATGCAAAAAAATGGGGTAGGGCCCCACCACCCTGACCTCCACCTCTCGGACGTCCTCTAGCTGGCTAGCCTCCACCTCTAATGGCCTGACCTCTACCTCTAATGGCCTGACCTCTACCTCTAGCTGGCTGAGCGGGCGGTAAAGCAACTAATGCCGGAACCATGGCACGAGAACTCTATTGTGGCATGCTACTCGACAATCTTAGGCAGTACCTCCTGATGTGACCAGTACCCCCACACTCGAACCACACATCCTGTTGTTATGGCTGTTGAAGATGAAACTGACCCGAACGGATCGGATAACCACGGTGATAGCTCTGGATCGGAGGTGCACTAATAAGAGCTGATGGTGCACTGTAGGTTGGCTGCCCAGGATGAGATACATAAGGACCACGACTACCCGAAGCACTGTGGGATGCCTGCAGCACTAACTAAAGTGTCCTAGGAGGATGGCGTCTACCAAAAGTACCCCTGCCTCCAGTTGAGGCACCACTAAAACCACCGGAATGACGAGGTCTCTTATCGGACACCAGCCCCCTCTCCTGACCACGAACCATCTCGATCCGTCTAGAAATATCTACGGCCCTCTCGAAATAAGTATCATCTCCAGTTTCATTGGCCAATAGCCTGATGTTGAAATTGAGCCCATCAATGAATCTCCTTACTCTCTCCCTCTCAGTAGGGAATAAACCAATGGCATGACGAGCCAGGTGGACAAATCGAGTCTCATACTGGATGACAGTCATGCTACCCTGTTGAAGGCGCTCAAACTGCCTGTGATACTCCTCTCTCGGAGTGAAAGGAATGAACTTCTCAAGAAATAGCTGTAGAAACTGATCCCAAGTGAGTGAAGGCAAACCAGCTGGTCTAGTCAGCACATAATCTCTCCACCATCTCTTGGCAGAATCAGTCATATGGAACACTACAAAGTCGTCCCTTTTGGTCTCAACAATACCCATGTTGCGCAACACCTTGTGGTAACGATCCATGTAATCATGTGGGTCCTCAGAAGGTGCACCGCTAAAATGAACAAGAATGAGTTTGGTAAACTTATTCATCCCTAACAGGGCCTCAGAAGACATAGCAGGACTATCCCCGGCCTATGCCACAACAATTGGCTAAACTACCCCAATTGGCTGGGATACTAGAGTCTGATATAGTGTAGCCACCTGCTCTGGGTGTGAGTAGCAGGAGTCTGTGCTCCTCCCCAGCCTAAGAGACGACTGGTTCCACTGAGAACTAGAGATTCCTGAAGCACTAGAGTGACTATGAATCCCTCCAGGACCTGAGCTGGTCCAACGGGTGCGGTCTAAGCTAGGACCTCCTCCTCATGATCAATCTGAGGCTGTGGGGGTGTTGTTGCTCGAGCTCTAGGCTGAGTCCTGCCTCTGCCTCGACCTCTGGCTCGACCTCGGCCTCTACCCCTGGTAGTAGCTTCCACAGGGGGCTCCGACTCCTGTCTGGCTACAGATATTGTGCGTTCTCGCCATCTGCGAGAGAACAAGAATAGAATAGTTCAATTATCAGTAATAGAATGAAATCGCACGATAGAGAAAGAAAGAAGTGAATTTTTTCCTAAAACTCCACAGCCTCTAGAAGATAAGTACAGACGTCTCCGTATTGATCCTTCAGACTCTACTAAGCTTGCTCATGACTCTTGAGACCTAAGCAACCTACTGCTCTGATATAACTTGTCACGACCCCGAATCCCAACCTCGGGGTCATGATGGCACCGAACATCTACTTCCTAGGCAAACCGACGTGAATAGAAAACTTACTGGTTTTAACAATTTACGACAAGATAATTACAATGAAAACAATATAAGTCTGAAGTATAGTATAACAATACTGAATAACGAGCCTAAACTTAACCCAAAAACTGGTGTCACGACTACATGAATGTCTAGAGCGCTAAAAACAGGGTCTGAATAAAATACATTGTTTTGAACTCAGAAAAAAAATAGTAAAGATAGGAGGAAAGAGGACTTCATGACTTCGAATGTTGTACAGCTGTACATCAAGTCTTCGTCCATAACTGGATCCGCGTAAATCTACTGAACATCGCTCATGACCCACTCCGTTATCTGCAAAAGAATTGCAGAGAGTAGTATGAGTACAACCGACCTCACGTACTCTGTAAGTGCCAAGCCTAACCTCGACAAACTAGTGACGAGGCTAAAGCAAGCCACTTACAATAACCTGTACACAAAATGAATAAACTCAAAGGGAATTTTTCTGTAATAAAAGGGAAAAAAGACAGAAAATGAAAGTATAGCAGTTAATTTATGACAACAACAACAACAAGTACAACACACACAACAAATGAGGTGCGCAACCCAATCCCACCTTAACATTCTTTATTAATATCAGGCATAATGTAAATAGTCTTTTGCGGTGTGCAACCTGATCCCACCATATTATCATTAATCAATATCATAATCCTCCCTTGTTCCAACATATCATCATTAAACAATATCAAAATCCTCCCTTATTCCACCATATCATCATTTATCAATAACAATTATTACGTACACAAACCGTTGCGGCGCGCAACCCAATCCCACCATATTATTATTTATCAATATCATAATCCTCCCTTATTCCACAATTTCAATTTATTATCCTTCAATTCCCGTTGTTGCATGCAACCCGATCCACAAACAATTTCAATGAACATAAACAATCAAATAACTCAATTTACAAGAATTTCTACAATCAAAGAGTATGAGTGCAAGGCAATAAATGAACCATGTAATAATCAAAGAAATGTAACAAATATTACAAAATAACATGACAAGTAAAACATGTGACAATTAAAGTATGCAAGTAAAACAGTTAAGGCCAGTAGCAATTAATCACGGAGTAAGTGAAGGGACAAACTATTCCATACAAGAATACTTAATGACAAATAACAAATTACAGCATAGAAAACAATTAAAGCATGTAACAATTAAAGCATTTAATGAGATAATTCATGAAAAACGAGAAAACATGAAAATAATTATTTTGACGGCGTATATACACTCATCTCCTCGCATATACGCCATTTCACACGTAATTCACATAACATGTAGTTCAAGGGTTTCTAATTCCCTCAAATCAAGGCTAGACCCAATACTTACCTCACCCCGCAACCCAAGCGATCAATCAACCACGACATTGCCTTTTGATCAAGCCTCCAAGCCAACTAAACCTAACAAATTATTGACCAAATGATTCGAAATAAGCTTTAGAAACTACCCACAAACGAAAGAGGTTCAATTTAGATCATTTTTGTAAAAGTCAACAAACGTCAACCTCGAGCTCACTTGGTCAAAATCAAGATTCGGGCCAATAAGGCATCATAGAAGGAAGGAAAGAATACTATGCCAAGGAAACAAATCAACAAAAACAACAAGTGATATAATAGAAAAGTATCAACAAGAATCACTACTGAGGTACCACCTCGTAGTCTCAAATCACAAAATAATTCACAATCTTTTCTTATATTACCGTGGGACCCTTGTATTTAGTTTTGAAAATTATTTTTCCCAAAATAGCTTCACGCGTTTTAGCCCACCTTATCACCCCGCGTGGCTTCAAGTAGTTTCCCTACTAGCACCACGCATATCAAGCCCACCTTATTTCACCGCATGCATTTCAACCCCAATCCTTATACCACCGCATGTGTATCAATATCCCAATGTATCACAAATCGCACCTTAACTGCCCAATATCACAGCTTGCCAACCAAAATAATGGTATTTCCACAATAAATAGCCCATGACTCAACAATAATAACCGGAAGTGAATAACTCAACAAGAATAGTATTTCACAACTTAACAACTTTGTCTCAATGTGAATCACGGCTTTTATAACTCAATACCAATTTCAACAACAAGATATTCCAAGAAATAACAATTTCAAGTAAGGAACTCAATAGTTAAATAATGAATAAGGAATAGAGGAAACAATAATTTCAACTTGGCATGTAAAGGCAAATAACAAGTAAGAGGTAAGACAAGTAAAGCATATGAAGATAGACTAAAGATGATGAATATAACATATTATGGTAACTCAATTAAAGGCATGAAAAGAATATACATAGCTAAAACCGGTCAATTACCACATTTAGCCTGTGTACTCACTCGTCACCTTGCGTACACGGCTTCACATATCACAATTAATACAAAACAACACCAATCCTAAGGGGTAATCCCCCACAAAAAGTTAGGCAAGACACTTACCTTAAAACATGCTAACTCAATCCACTAGTAAGTCTTTCCCTCGATTATCCAACTCCGGACGGCTCGAATCTAGCTAAAACAACTTCATACTATAAATATAAACTAAAAGAAACTATTCTGAACAATAAAGTTACGATCTTTAAAGAGAAATAAAAAGTCAACTAAAAAATTCAACCCTGGGCTCGCGTCTCAGAACCCGACCAAAATTATAAAATCTGAACACCCAATAAGGAGTCCAACTATACAAAAATTACTCAAATCCGACTTTAAATCGCATTTCAAATCCCAACAATTTATTCTAAGAAGTTTTCACAATGTTTTCCTAAATTTTCAACTGAAACCACTAATTAAATGATGAAAATAACAATAAATTCGTGTAATATAGCCAAAACCGAGTTAGAATCACTTACCCTGATAATTTCCCTGAAAATCCCTCAAATAATCGCCACAAACCGAACTCTCTTGGTCCAAAAATGAAAAAAAATATTAAACCCTCGAAGACCTCTATTTCTGCCCAGCGATTTCGCATCCGCGGGCATAGGATCGCACCTGCGAAAAATCCATCGTAGGTACGGTTCCAACTAAGGTCCAGCATACTCCGCTTCTGCGGATACAAACGCGCATATGCGCTTTTTCTCTTGCTAACATAGGAGCGTTTCTGCGCATGCGCTCCTGCAGACAATGTCCACTTTTGCGATCATAGACCAAGTTGGCCCAGTCCGCATCTGCGACCAGCTCCTCCGCACCTGCAGACTCACAGCTACGGAAATCACCTAGAACCTGCGGTCCCATCCAAGCTCACTCAAGGCCGCTCCTGCAATCAACCTCACGCACCTGCGTGTCTGCACCTGCGGCAAAACCCTCCGCAGGTGTGAGGACACCAGAACAACAACACGTTCAGCAATCCATCAAGTCCAAAATTGCTCTGGATTCAATCCGATTCACACCTAGGGCTCCCAGGACCCCGTCCGAATATACCAACAAGTTCCAAAATACATAACGGACCTATTCGGGGCCATAAATTACATCAAACAACATCGATTCTACGATCGAAACCAAATTCAAACCTATTGAAACTACGAACATCCGACTTCCAAAACTAACGTCGAATCACACCAAAACAATTCTGATTGACCTCGAATTTTGTACACAAGTCATAAATGACATGACGGACCTATTCCAACTTCCGAAATCGAAATCTGAATCTGATATCAATAATGTCAACTCTCGGTTAAACTTCTCAACCTTCCAAACCTTCAACTTTCTAACTTTTGCCAATTCAAGCCGAAACGACCTACGAACCTCCAAATCAACATCCGAACATGCTCTTGAGTCCAAAATCACCATACAGATCTATTGAAATCGTCAAAACTCTATTTTGGAGTCATCTACACAAAAGTCAAACTACGGTCAACCCTTTCAACTTAATCCTCCAACTTAGGTACTAGGTATCCCATTTCACCCGGAAACTCACCCGAAATCAAAACCAAACACCCCAGCAAATCACATAACAACAATACAATATAGATGAGGTAATAAATAGGGGATCGGGGCTAAAATACTCAAAACGACCATTTGGGTCGTTACACCACTGCACCATGAATCCATGACACCCAAACACAACTATACAACAAGGAGTTAGCTTACAGAGGAAAACGATGAGGACAAGAGAGAGAAACATTATTTGATAAATTGAATGAAAACGAGATTTATTAAATTTTTCTTTGGTAAACGTTTACGTGTTTCGCTTTATTGCTTATTGAATTATTAAAATTTTGGATTATTATATGTTTTTTCTATAATATTGAATTCAAGTTATACTACTTATGCCAAATAAGTTTACTCACTACAACAAAAATGGCATTTAGTGGCAATAAAGTTTGACTTTAGCGGAAATAGAAATTGCCGTAAAATCTTTTACCAGCAATTGCTTATTAGCCGTTGTATCCAACGTCATTAAAGGTTTTAGCGGCAATTCAACTGAGTGCCGGTAAAAGCACCATTTATTAAAGGTCATTACTTTTAGTGGCATTTATTTACCGACCATTACAATGGCCAGTAAAACTACCTGTGGAATATGCTACCTCATATATTTAGCGACAGTTGTTATTGCTGGTAAAAACCCATCAATTGCCAACAATAGGGACTACTTTTAGTGGAAATTGTAATGGCAACTAAAGTTTCTGTGAAATGACCTTTATTTAACAAAATTTAACACTTCTAATGCTCGTTTGCTTATTTACATTCACAAATAATAATTAGAATTGCAGTCATTTTAAAAAGATTAATACATTTCTTAAAATTCACGACAAAAACAACCACCAATCCGTAATTTCATAGTACCGACATATTAAAAAGAAATAAACTATTTGAACTAAATAACCAACAGTTTGTTTCAAATAACTGGTGAGACATAGCTACGATACTAGACAACAAATAGCACATAACAATTTATGTAACTCTTGATCATAATTAAGTTTTTTACATGTCAAATTTCTGAACATCAAAGAATATGACCTGAAATAATAAAATAAAATGAATATTAACACATGATAGTATGATATAGTCTTTGTAACGACCCGATCGGTCGTTTTGAGCTCTAACGTGTCGTTCGTTGGTTTGAGACCATGAGCAACTTCACTTCAGGTATTATGACTTGTACGCGTGGTCGGAATTGAATTTCGGGAAGTTCGAAAAGTTCGGAATTGATCTGGAAAGAGAATTCTAATTCTGGGAGCCTTAAGTTGGAAGAATTGACTAAAGTGTGATTTTGACTAAACGACCTCGGAACTGGGATTTGAAAGTTCCAACAGGTTTGTATGATGATATTGGACTTGGGCGTATGTCCGGATCGGATTTTGGATGACCCGTGAGCGTTTCGGCGCCTATTGTAGAAATTGGCATTTTGGAAGAATTTTATAAATATGGGTTGAAGTGTATTTCAATGTTATCGATGACCGTTTGGGATTCCGAATCTGGAAAAAGTTCCGTATGGTGATTCTGGTATTGGGAGCGCTTTCAGAAGTGGATTCGGAGGTCCGTAGGTCATTTTGGGGTCATTTGGCGGAAGTTAGAAATCTGAAGCTTTATGAGAAGTTTGACCAGGAGTGGACTTTTTGATATCGGGGTAGGAATCCGATTCCGGAAGTTGAAGTAGGTCCGTAATGTCGAATGTGACTTGTATGCAAAATTTGAGGTTAATCGGACGTGATTTGATGGGTTTCGACATCGAATGTTGAAGTTTGAAGTTTTAAAGTTCATTAAGTTTAAATTGGGGTGCAATTCATGATTTTGATGTTGTTTGATGTGATTTCAGACCGCGAGCAGGTCCGTGTTATGTTATGGGACTGGTTTGTGTGATTTAGATGGGGTCCCGGGGGCCTTGGGTGTGTTTCGGGATGGTTTCAGATTATTTCGGGCTGTTTTGGACTGCTGTTGTTGGTGTCTGGTGTCCTTCTTCGCGAACGCGAAGGAAGTCCCGCGTTCGCATAGAGGAAATTGTAAGGCTGCTGGGTTGGCCTTCGCGAACGCGAGCAAGTGGACGTGAACGCGAGGCAAGAGCTGGGCAAGCTTTCGCGAACGCGGCCAAGGCGACGCGAACGCGAAGAAGAAAGGGGGAGATGGGCCTAAGGCCATTTGGCCTGCACGAACGCGTAGAAAGGAACGCGAACGCGAGAGGTCTGGGAAGCTGGCCTTCGCGAACGCAATCAGAGTGCTGGGAACGCGAAGAGATATTTCTGGGCGTGAGGTTGTTGAGCATCGCGAACGCGAGGGATGTGTCGCGTTCGCGAATAAGGGTCGCCTGGGTAGTGAGGTTTTTAAAGGACGGGATTTGGCCATTTTCCTCCATTTTTCATTTGGCTGGACAATTTATGGAGCTCTTGGAAGGGAGAGTTTCGTCATCTATGTCAAGGTAAGTGATTCCCACCTATTGCAAGTTAAATACTTGTATTATATATGAATTTAGACTTGAAAATTTGTGAAAATTTGGGATTTTGAAGAAAAACCTAGAAATTGGTATTTTGGATTTTGACCACGAAATTGGACATGAAATTTAGAATAAATTATATATTTGAGTTCGTGGTGTTATGGGTAAATTTTATCTTTGAATATTTTCGGAATCCGGGCACGTGGGCTCGAGGATTGCTTTATCGATTTTTTGAGCGGAGTTGAAAATTGTTATAAATTGATTAATTATGAGTATTAGAGTATATTTTGATTGGGTTGCATCTTATTTGACTAGTTTTGGATCGGCGGTTACCGGTTTGAGGTGTTAGGGCGGTGCTGGAACCGGGTTTGGAATGTCAGAGTGAGGTAAGTCTCATGTCTAACTCTGTGAGGGGAAATTACCTCTACGTGTTGTATATTGATGTGTGTTACTTGTTGTGAGGGCTACGTACGTGCGAGGTGACGAGAGCCCGTACGTAGCTACATTTATGCAATTGTCCAGGTAGGCTTAGGTTCATATCATGTTGTAGCAGCACTATTTGAGCATTTTCTCGCCTATTAAATTCCTCTGTTTTATATTCCTACTTAAGACTAGACTTGATATTGTAGAGACTTCACAAGTTCACGATTAGTCACCGAATAACTTTACTCCTCCGACGGNCCTACGGTATGTTTCCGTTATATATATATATATATATATATATATATATACACACACACACACACACACACACACACACTTCATTGAAAGGTTTTTACTAAAGAAATTGCAACTCACACGTTTATTCGTGAGTGGGGTCAAGGACCCGTCCAAGCTTCTTATTCTAATGGGATCGGGTCATTCGCCTCAGCAGGATTATGTATTTCACTCTTATGGGATTGAGCCGCTCGCCTCGGCAGGATTATGTATTTCACTCTTATGGGATCGGGCCGAACTCCTCGGCAGGGTTTATATGCCACACTCTCATGGGAGCGGGCCATTCTCCTCGGCAGTTTAATAGATGTATCTATAATTCATGCCGTTCGACCCTCGGCAGTGCACTGTTTAAATATTTATGTTGGATCGGCCCATACGCTTCGGCATTTCCTATATCATATCCTCATGGAATCGTGTGTAATATTTGGCAAGAAGCTAGTGTATCTGCGAGTTTTCCCGATTTGAGTTATGACAATCTATCTGATGAGATCCACTATATCTATATATATGCTCCGGTTAAGAAGGGAATGGAGAGCTTGAGTTCCTCG